AATTTAAATATATGAATTTTATGATATGATTTAATGACTAGAAAACTTATTACGTTTTAGGTTCTTTATGATCTAAATTTAAAAATATATTATTTTTATTTATCTATTAGCAAATGATACTTAAATTAAAATATAGAATATAGTTAATCAAAAAATGTGTCACCATACCATACTATGTTTACACAAACATTCATTATGATTTCAACATCATGAAATAAATTTAAATATGGAATATAAGTCTTCTTTTTAATTAGAATATTCTTTTTAGTTTTACATTCTTTTCCATTTCATTTATAATAAAACTTTCAATGAGTAAATAAGATTTCGATCTTTCGTTAAAAAAGATACTCTCTTTGTCTCCAAATAAATTTTATATTTATTTATGATATGCTTATTAAATGAAGTTAGTTTTTCTTTTATTGATTTAAATTTTTGATGTAAAAATATAAAATACTCCTGTATATTTAAATATCTGAATTAATATTTTATAAAACAAAATACACCTAGACTTTTTTTTAATGATTAACTATTTAAATCAAATAAATTAAAAAATAATTATTTACGGGCTTGAATGATTACTTATTCAAACGTAAAATAAAAAATAAATAAAATTTGCCAAATGTATTTACAATTTTTCATTCAGAATCCCCTTTCTTCCTAAAAATCTTCTTCTTGATGTACTTTTTCAATGAAGGAAAGGAAATCTTTTCGCCCAAATCTTCTTCCCTAATTGGAAAACTTTTCCGCTACTACTCTTCGCCAAAAAGATCTCGAGAAAGATTTGTATTTTGCCATTTCGAGAAAGATTTCTATTTTGCCATTTCGACAATCTTCTCCACCAAAAAAATTTCTGAAGAATCTGCTCTCACTTTACTCTGGGTATGTCTTCTATTCTTTACCGATTTGCCAAAGGAAAGGCTTCAATTTAGCCGGCCTGTCTTCTCCACCAAAAGGAAACTCTTGAATTTAGAAGCTCTGCTTTCGGTCTTCTCTTCTTCACCGAAGGAAAATCAAAATGCCCTCTCAAACTTCTCTCTTAATTCAGATCCAAAATACAAAAGTTGATATTCCAAATTAAGAACGGTGATTCAACAGGGCAATTTACAAGATTTGTTTTTAAGAGGTAAGTTTTCTATATTGGAAATTCATTTTCATTCATCCCCATTTTTTCATTCATATTCATCATTTGATATTATTCTTTGATTTACCTTAATTACCTACAATTTAATCGTTTCATTGTATATTGAGGCATTGTGTTACACATATTCGTATATATGGATTTTGGCCTTAGGATCAATAATATTTTTAATCCTAAAGAAATAATGTTAAGTACTATGTAGCATTTTGTCTTGGGTATCTCTATGTTATATTTTTTTAACTGTGACTTTCTCTTTTGGAGGACTTTTTGTTTTCTTCTCTCTTTTGAACACAGATTAACTCAAACGAGCATAAAGAAATGATTCTTTTGCTAAACTATTACAATGCTTTGACATTTTTTTGAGGAAACTGACATAATCTTTTGAATGTCTTTTGTTGGTCATTGACTGAAAATAGCCTACCAATTCAACTGTGGCACCTGTCAAAGAACGTAACCGAACTATGAGAGTGCCCGAAATTAGATTGCCAGTGAGTTTTGGAAGCACACCCACTGCAATATGCCTCTTGCCAGCTGATTTTTAAACTAGAATTTCATATGCACTTCAAATTTTTAGTGTTGCAAATAAAACATATGGATTGTACAATATGGTTTAGGTGCCTATCTTTTAAGAAAGTTAAGACTAATGTGATCATGTCTTTATGAGTTTGATTCTTGTGCTCTCTCCTAATAGCATGCTACACTTCCTTACCGGCCTTTTGGCTAGCCATAACATAGGATTAGGATCATGCCATTTAGTACTTTTTGGATTGTTTGTGCAAAATCAGTAGTGCTGTTTAAGAGTTGTCGTAGGGTCCAAAACAAATTAAAAATCTATAAATAACCTTAACTAACCTCCAATATATAATTAAATAAAACTATAGCTAGGGCAAGTAAGGTCGATCCCACGGAGAAAGTTTGTATTTTTGAAATCAAAATCGCATGCAAATACGTTGTCACTAAAAAAAATTAACTACTACACATATGATAAAATTTATAATAAAACTTATAACTAAATAAATATAAAAACTTATAAATAACTTATATAAACAAAGAACTTATAATATAATTTATAAAAACAAAACAAATACCTAAGTATATAAAAGTAAATAAAGTATAAAAACATATATTTATAACTTAAAACACAAAGGGGGGGGTTGGATGAAGAGAGAATATTTTTTGGTTTTTTATATTTTTCTTCTTTTTTTGGTTTTTTTGATAAAATGGGGGAAAACAAGCTCAAAAGATAATCAACATTTCCAACTTAGGTAACCCAAGGAACACCGGCAAAAACCCGAAACAAAATTAAAAAGAGAACGAACACAAAACGAACATTACACGTATAATGGGCACTTAGACAATATATTACGTAACTTACGCACTTAAGAATAGAAAAGAATTCAAAGGCTCGAGTTGATTCATATCATTGACCACATATAGAAGATCGTCAACTCTCTATAAGGCCCGGAGTCAAGAATTCAAAGGCCTTTTGGTCACTTTGAACCCCCACTCACATCAAGGCTCAAGCGCTAAAACAATGATTCCAAAAGATGAAAAAGTTTATAAAAGAGCGAATCTTTCTTTCATTCTAACTCTCATGCACAAACTATTCATGAAGAACATTTGATACACTTTAATAAACTTTAACGTCTAATGATGAAAATATTTTGCAGGTCTCCTTGAACAACTTAAGCATAAGAATTCTCGTCTATTCACATAACAAAACATTACATATTTTCATAAAAACTTAAAAATTGTTTTTGTGCTTAAACAACCTTAAATTTTATGAAAATAACATAAAACAAACGAAGACATAAACAATCACTCAATAACGAATCTTAAGGAATATGTCCAACTTATGGGACTAAGAAATCCAACATCCTTAAAATTTTACAAAACACATAGCACAACGAAGAATCACATATGAATTCGGAAATCATTTAACTATAATATGGAGCTAAAATAGCTTCAACGAAAACCAAATTCAACATACCAACTTACTTGTGAAATCAAACCGTGCGATTCAACCAATTCAACAACAATTTGTACAATAATTGAAGAAAACTAGTACGAATCAATTTTCATTCATAAGGGATTTAATATAAACATTAAAAAAAACCCATAAAAAAACACCAACCATTTTGGGATTTTCTTGAAATTCACAAAACAAGCAAAAAAATATAATCTTGAATTGAAACAATACTTTTACAAAGAAATTGGAGAAGAAAAAGAAATTGACAAATATGGGTTACCAATTTGTTGAAGAAAATGATGAAATTGAAGAAATTGGAGCCATGACCGGAGTTGGAGATCGCCGACCGGAGCTGCAGCCGCTACCGTTGCCGCCGCTGTTGTCGCCTCCTCCACCGCCCACCGCCGCGGCCTAAGCCGCGGCTCTCTCTCCCGTTGTTCCCCCTTTTTTCCCCCTGTTTCCCCTCTGTTTCCCCCCTCAAGCTACTGGTTTCATCTTCAATATATAGTGTTTGGTTCATGAAACTTGAGAGGAAAAGAAAAAAAAAATGGTTTTCTTTCAGTTTCTTTACCAAAATGAGAGCAATTTGATTTTCCATCTTCTTAATACATTTTGCCTTCTCATTTCTTTTCCTTCCACATTTTTTTCTCTCTAACCAAACAAGAAAAATGTTTTCCTTCTCCATAGTGTGAAAGAGTCATAAAGAGGAATTAAGGTGGACCTACTGATTTACTAATTTGACCTACAGCTTTGAGTTTGGGCTTCGGCCAATTTCATCTCTTTTTAAACTCAACCAAAGTTTTCGTCTTTTGCTACATTTTTCTTCAAAAAAATAAGATACGGAGTATCTGATAATTTTGGGTTAGAAAAATACAATAAAATGTAAGCAGTAAAAAAATGATTAAAAAGTTACTATTTTAGAAATAAAATTAAAATATTGTAAAAGTTGGAATAAAAATAAAGCTAAGCAAAACAATTAAAAATTAAACTCTAAAAATATTAAAAATACCTAAAAAAGAATAAAAAGAACCAAACCAAACCCGACTTATCAAGTGCACTCTTTCGGATAATCCCTCACAGTGCTTCCTCTTTCCCTGTAACGTATGATTGCTCAACGAAGGACCTAGGGTAGCGGAAGAATTTTATGAGATTAGAGTTGTACAGAAAAAGATGGATCAAAATTCCATTGCTCTCAAATGGGTATAAAATGTATCATAATAAATTAAATGCTATATAATCTCACATGAACATGTGCTTTTATGAAAATTTCTTAGTAGTTTATATTTTTTCATTATTTTTCCTCCATGCCAACCATTTCGTCTTTAATTACAGATTTTTTTCACTTTAATACATCAATAATGCTTTAACAGTTAACCCCCCGTTAATATAAACATAATGATTGACATTATAGATCAATATTTAATAAACTTAATATTTTGTGGCAGGACCTGATTGGGGATTTTATCGATGCTAAGGACAAACAAATGACATGACTTCGAGATAGTATATCAAGATTCACGCCAATGAAGAAGAACCTGATCTTATAGATTGAGACAAGTCAATCACCAAGTTGAAGAGTGACTAGGTCGAAGAAAAATAATATTATACTTGATTTATTGATGAGTTTTATTTTATGGTTTGACTTGCATGATATGGTTAGCCTTCTCCATGTAAGAGTACGTACGTAGTATATAATTTTATGGTTTAGTCTACAAATACTTTATTTTGTTTAGCCTAAAACCTTAAAGCTTATATTAAACACATGTCTTGGTTCAAATGTCTTGGTCAATGGTAAATTTAAAATTCAATAAATTTCAATAAATTGATCTTTTGTCGTATATTGCATTCTAGCACTGTCATAGGGTCATTTTATTTCATATAGCTTTTGTTTATAAATTTTTTGTGATGGGTCATATCTACTATATATATATATATATATATATATATATATAACATAATATAGAGAGTGTGAATAAGTAAGAGAAAATGTAGTATAGAAATAATGTTTGTGGGCACAAACCATTTCTCTGATCCTCATATATAGTATAAAAATTATAGTCTTACTTCAAGAGAAGAAAATTGCAATCTATTTCTAAGTAAATTTATACTATTATGTTAACGGAGGATGTAAGTTTTTTTTAACAAATAAATTTTTACCAATACCCAATGTAATTTTCCTTCTATATTACATCAAAATTTGTCCATTTTGACTATACAAATATAAATTGGACGAATAATTTGAGACAAAGGTAATAAGTGAATTTAATTAAAATGAGGATTGAAAAAAATCCTATAAAAAATGTTCTAACCTACCAAAGTCATGGTAAGCTTTGTGTTGCTTTTCACGAGTGAACACTAAGATATCGTTAAAAATATTATTTCTATATGACAATATAATCCCTTACAACCATAACCAACATGTTGTATACACTGAAGTTTTTAAAAAATTTACAAATAAAAAATATGTAGTCAAATATGCTTTCAATTCCTCAAATATTGTTTTTTCGTGTTGGTGTCTATTGTATTAAATTTTCAAAATTTTAAACATATTGCATACACTGAAGTCTTTAAAATCTTTTTTTATTCTAGACAAAATATTTTATTGAAAAAAAATCAAAACTGACAAAAAATTTGTTCATCCCCGTGCGTGGCGGGTGCAAATTCTAGTGGATTATATAAGAGCATGGGCAGCGGCATTCAAGCCTAGCCCACCATGCCACGTCAGCCAAAATCTTCTTTTTTCTCGTGTCGAAGTACCGTTCCTCCGCGATATGCAATCCTTTCACAAGGAACACCCATGTTGTTTCTTTTTTTATTTAATCTTTTTCGAGAAAGAAAATATATTTTGTAAGGTAATAGAACTATTTTTTACTCTCTCCATCCCGCAATATATTATAATTTTTCCCCTCATTTATTGATGACTTTTAATTGTTTGTATGTTTTCATTTTTAATAAACTAAAATATTCTCGTCCCTTCCTTTTTGTAGAATTTTTAACATATAGTTTTTTAATATAAAATTTTAATTTTTAAATCTTATTTCATTTTTTAACAAATAAAAAACAAAAAAGAAGGGGTTTTATCTCGTAATTCTAAAATTGTAATTTGATTTGAGAGAATAAAATACAAAGTAGGTGAAAAAAAATTTAATAATTAAAATAAATTTTTAAAAAATCTGTTTTTAGCGTGCTTTCTAGAGAGCATTGCATTTGTATACATTTAGTTGGGTTTCTTTACTTGTTACTAAGTTGTATTATTTCTAATTTTCTATATACTTCTAAATTTGATTTGGCATATTCACTAGTTCACATGCACATTAACGAGTTCCCTAAATGGTTTCCAATCTTACTTTTTCTTTGTTTTTTGTACAAAATGATTAGCTTCCTTCCACATCTGCGTCCCTTGACAAATGCTGATTATTGGTGGTTCGTATTCACTACTATATTAGCTTCCTTCTACATCTAAGTGGTTCGTATTCACTACTATATTATTGTTGTTTAATTAGGTGTTTCATTTTTTTCCCCAATCTTAAATGAATCTCTCTAAAACTTCATTCTTTTTTCATTAATGATAATGTCATATTTGTAGTATGTATTTTTTCCATGAAGAATGTATCAAATTGCCCATTGATACTTCCTTTGATTGTATGACAATGAATTTGAGTTCATGGTTTGTTTAGAGCTTAATTATAACTAGATTGCTACCGTCGTTCCAAAAGTGTAGTTGCACTAGGGTGCTACTTTGAAGCAATAGGTTTCAAAACAGTCAATTCTAGCAATAGTTTTCTTAGTGCAAACCATCGGGATTTGGAGCAAGTACTTGAAATTCAAAGGAGACAATCACCTCATTGGCTAAGGCAATAGTCAAAATATATAGGATATAAGAACTTAGATTGATGCTTTGAGTTTTGATTCTAAAGACTACAGCTTTGGCCAGCAGATAGAATAGGGAATTGATAGGGTATCAAGTTTGTGTTTTTCTTATCTTTTTGGACTTTAGAGCAAGTATCTTTTGATATAACAAGGGGACTAGAAGCAACAACTATAATTATATTTAGTTTCGTACTCTTTGGAATCCCAAAGTGTTGTATATGCAACTGTCAAAGTATCGACTAATATATGTAATGCGTTTTTGTTTGATAATATTTTATTACTCTCTCTGTCTCAAATTATTTGTCACATTTCTATTACCGAGGTAAAATATCAAGTTTTTTTCAATTCATTTTTTTTTACATATTGGTACAGAAATAAAAAATAAAAATTACATATCAAAAAACTATATGAAAAGTTCTTGAAATAAGAGGTATCAAGAATATTTTATTTTATCAAATAACCAATGAAAACGTATAAATAAACAAAAGTTTCTGCGATTATTAAAAAAGCAAATGTGACAAATAATATGGGACGGAAGGAGTATTTATTTAATATTATTATGATATTATCAAAATGCGATAACTAATAATAAAAATGTATTCATTTGATTAAATATACTTATAAAAATCTTTTTTTAAATAAACTCGATCGTACCGGTCTTTTCCTCCATTTTTCATGCCCAGAGCCGCCCCTGCCTAGGGATGGCAATTCTATCCGAATCCGACTTTTACCGACCCGACCGGAGGTTATTATATCAAATCCGAACCGAAAAATTAAATATCCGAAACCGACCCGAAAAAAATTAAACCGAACCCGACTTTTGTCGGGTTGGGTTTGGGTTAGTATATTTGACCGACCCGACCTATACCCGAACCGACCCGACATGTACCCGACTTTCAATAAGTTTTAAATAACTCTAAATTCCTATATTTCATGTATTTTTTTTATGCACATATTTTTAATATTTTAAAACTTATTGCATTTTTTATGTTTCATTTTTTATTGTGGTTTAATATTGTGTGTCCCACATGTGCTATTTTCATTGTACTCCATATATTATTAATTGAAACTTAATATTGTTTGTTCCACACGCGCGGGAAGACGAAGCGGTTGCAGATTTCTAGTCTGACGTCGCCCCCAACGAGATCGGACGACTTACGTTTGACATCTTTAAGGGTTATTCGGTCATAATTATTTTTGCTAATATCTTAAATTTTATATCATCTTTAAAATTTTTAATTTCTAATGCATTACAATCTTAAATTTTTCATGAATAGTTTAAATAGTATTCAAACCCGAAATTGACCGTAACCGACCCGACCGAATCTTAAACCGAATCCAAACCGAAAAAAAATAAATATCCGAAACCGACCCGCCAAAATCTAACCCGAACCCGACCTAAGTTAGGTCGTGTTTTAATATACTCAAACCCGACCGAACCTGACCCGTTGCCATCCCTACCCCTGCCGATTCTAGCATTAGTACCCACAACTGCCGTTGTTAGCATGTTACCCGGTGCGAGCTTAGAATTGCCGGTCTCAATTTTGACTCAAACTTTAACGTTTATGGAGTACGGGGGAACCATACATATATGGAAGACTAGTAGGTGAAAGAGTTGATATAATTGAAAAGTCGTATACTCTCTGTGCTAAAACGTTATTTTCTGTTACTATTCACACGGTCAAACTTTCATCACTTTACGTATTTTTGCTAGTTACTCCCTCCGTCCCGTTATATTCGTCCACTTTTGACTTTTCGAACTGTTCGTCTAAGCACTTTGACTCATCAAATTCTCTCAATGTGTAAGCCTAAATATAGTCATGTGTGATCTTGTTTGATTTGTCTTAACATATAGATTATTAATATATAACTTCTATAATTTTTTAATATACAAATTACAAGATAAAATGGATTAAAGAAGTGTATTGGATGGTGTGTAAAAATGAAAGTGGACAAATACTCTGGGACGGAGGGAGTATTTGATAAAATAAATATAGTTTTGTCACATCTTGTTTTATAGATCTCTTGATATAGTTTTTAAATATATAAATTTCTTTTTTATTTAAATTTTACACCTATAATCACATAAATTGAATTAGAAATAAAGTCGGTCAAACCTCGTAAACAGAAACATGAAGAATGTTTTATGACGGGGGAGTAATGATTTTAGTTGTACTCCAAATATTGTATTCCAAATTACTCTAAACTTAAATTTAGCTTTTGATAGCTTATATTGATACAAATATCACTGTGATAGTGTGATCGTAAAATTTTGTACTTGCACTCACACAAGATTTAAGGACTCCATATAAAGTTTTTAGGTATAAGTAAATTAATTCAAAAAAAGGGTTAGCCCCATTCCTGAGACTTTCTCACTTTAATTGCAGATTGGTGGCAAAGAATGAAGACTGTATCTAATACTTGTCGAAATCATATGCTTAACATAGTTGCGTCTCTCAGTTGCTAGGAATAAAACTTGAATCTTATCTCATTGGTATCACTTGCCTTGACAACTAGGCAACTAAGTAAATTAATTCAAAGTCGTATCCAGATGGATGGGAAGCTGAGGTGGATCACGCGAGGCCGACCCCACCACGGACAAAAATATGTCTCTTCATGGTTCTATCTGGTCTTGTTTGGACTCCATCAAATTTGTTGTCACTGAAATCTCCATGTGAGCTACCTAGCTTTAATTAGTCCCCACTTGATGAATGTACCTTCCTTATTAATGAACTATGGACTATTGGTCTATTACGCATGTCCTCATTATAGTAAGATTTACAAAATCATTTTATGTATTATAATTTCTTTTATAATTAATAACTAAATGACGTTAAATGTTTTGAAAAAAATCAAATTTAGTATTTTACCCCATACTCGGTCCAAATTAAATTAATTATACGAGTAAATTAACTACTCACAAAGTCAAATTTTATTTATTTTCCTAATTTATTTTCTTTAGTCATTTAATAAAATAATAGAGTCATATCTTATGCTTCTTTCGTAGAACAAATTTTAATACAGTTTTCTAATATACCAAAGTTTTATTTTTTAAATTCTATCCAATTTTCTTATAAGTTGAATAAAAAATAATTTCAATCAAATATCATATACTGAAACAAGCCATTTAATATAAGCTGGATAACATAATTTGACAATCTAAGATGCGGAATAGTTTACATTTATTTTATTAGTCTCTTCTTTAGAAAAAATGGTTGGATATTAGAAGAATAAATTAGAGAAAACTCAAAAAAAATTGAAAAAAACTAAAAAGAATTCAAAAAAAAATATTTAAGTGTACTTTTTATATTATTCTAATTATAGTTGTTATTATGGGAAAGGTTCAAATGACATTGAACCTTAATGTCATAGGATGACCCGGGGCTGCTCAGGTGCCCCGTTCGTAAAATTGACGGTTCCTACCCCCCCGGTAAACCCCACACCCCGGCCCCGACCCGAACACACCCCCCACCCCCTTCAATTGCACCCCACAAGTTGATTTTAACTTTGGAGTCAAATTTTGACTCCAAAGTCAAAATCAACTTGTGGGGTGCAATTGAAGGGGGTGGGGGGTGTGTTCGGGTCGGGGCCGGGGTGTGGGGTTTACCGAGGGGGTAGGAACCGTCAATTTTACGAACGAGGCACCGGAGCGGCCCCGGGTCATCCTACGACATTAAGGTTCAATGTCATTTGAACCTTGGTGTGTTATTATTGTTACCATTATACACACACACAACGAATCTTTTAACCTTGTAATTCAAGGTCATATTATGACCCGCAGTATTATGTTGGTAAATTTGATGCTTCGTACCCTTACACTCACCCCAACACCTCACTTGCCTCCCCCCACCTTACCCCACCACATGTGGGAGACAAGGTTCTTACTCAAGAAAAAAATTGACAACATTTATGTAACAATTCAATTGAGATACAATACTCCATTCATAAAATTGAGTATTCTTATCTCAAACCGCTAATCAAATAGTCATCCACAATAACTAAAAAAAATCCTCCTACATACGGCTCTACATAAAAATGCCTTTAACCCATCTTTATATATTCCCCCTACATAAAAATGCTTTAAAGCATCTTATATATATATATATATATATATATATATATATATATATATATATATATATATATATATATATATATATATATATATATATATATATATATATATATTCCCTCTACATAAAGATAATGACTGAACGCGTTCTGCTTGTTCCCATTCTTGTGGGGAGTTGAGCTGAGCTGAGGGTCTTATATTATACCTGTCTGAGTGTACGTTATTCCAATATCAATCACCCACTGCCACTGCCAGTGATATTTTCCCATGCCGAGCGACCGCCGCCCAGAAGAGGACCCACTCCTACTAGTTCTTCCAACAACCGCCGCCGCCGCCGCAAAAACAAGATCAAAGCGGTCCTATGACGACGCCGTGGAGAGTTGCATCGGAAGCTTCGGGTGGGCGCAGCTCCTGCAAGTCTCCCTCACTTCTCTCGCCTGGTTCTTCGACGCCCACCAGACCTTCATCACCATCTTCACCGACCTCGTCCCCACCTGGCACTGCGACCCCACCGTCTCCTCCGAGTGCCGGGGGGGCATGAAGGCGGCCGATGCCTGCGCGCTCCCGAGGGGCGCGTGGGCGTGGGACGCCCCGGCACAAACGTCTGTTGTGTCGGAGTGGTCCCTGGAGTGCGCGGGCCCGCTGGTGACCGGCCTGCCCTCCACGTCCTACTTCGTCGGGTGCCTGGTGGGCGGGATGGTGCTCTCGACGTTCGCCGACTCGACCCTGGGCCGCAAGAAAATGCTCACGCTCTCGTGCTTTCTCATGAACGTCGCCAGCATCCTCACCGCCGCCGCCTCCAACGTGTGGGTCTACTCGTTCTGGAGGTTCCTGTCCGGCTTCGGCCGGGCAACCATTGGGACGTGCGCGTTGGTTTTGGCGACCGAGATCGTCGGGAGGCGGTGGCGGGGACAGGTAGGGATCGTAGGCTTCATTTGTTTCTCCCTCGGCTTCCTCTCTCTCCCTGCAATCGCATACCTAAACTCCGGGTCCTCCTGGAGGTACCTCTACCTCTGGACCGGGGTCCCAGGGGTCGTCCACTCACTCATGGTCTTTTTCTTCGTCTCTGAGTCCCCGAGATGGCTTTACGTCCGCGGACTGACGACGGACTTCATCCAAACGATCCGAAGCATCGCCCCACCGGACACCCGAGACTCCATAACATGCAGCTTCTTTGGATCATTCATTATTCAAGAAAACCAGGACGAACTCGGTTCCGCAAATCCGACCATGGATTTGTACTCAGCACTAAAAGTGTTGCTCAACAAAAGTTGGGCCGTGCGCCGGCTCCTGGCGGTCATGGGCGCGGGGTTCGGGCTCGGGCTCGTCTACTACGGCATACCCCTGAGTGCGGGGGAGATGCCCTTCAGCATCTACCTCAGCACGGCCCTGAACGCCCTGTCCGAGCTGCCGGCCGCTCTAATAACCTCCCTAGTGATAGACAAGCTAAGGAGGAAGAGCTCGGTGCTCGGACTGGGCGTCCTGTGCTGCGTCTGCTGCAGCGGGTGCGCCGTGATGGTCGGCGACCAGCTAAGGGTCGTGCAGATCGGGCTGGAAGTGGTGGCGTTCTTCGCCGGTTGTACAGCGTTTAACGTGTTGCTCATATACACCCTCGACCTGTTCCCGACTTGCGTGAGGAGCTCGGCGGTGGCGATGGTGAGGCAGGCGCTGGTGCTCGGCGGCGCCGTCAGCCCCTTCCTCGTGGGGCTTGGGAGGTCGAACAGGTATTATTCGTACGGGGTTTTTGGATTGGCAGTTGGGGCGTGCTGCTCGGGTGTCTTTTCTTTGCCGGAGACGTTCGGCAGAAAGGTCTATGACACTATTGAAGAAGAAGAAGACGGTCTGCAGGAAAGATAGACGAGATCAATGTTTGGGATTTCTTATATTATTTCCTACATTTCATAATTCATATTGTGGGGTTGTTTTTAGGAGCTTTTTCCTTGTTTTTATTGTGTTTTGGGGAATAATAGTATGTCATTACCAAACAAATCTAAAAAGTGAAATTTGCAGTGAATAGGACTAAAACAAAAGCCATTACTCAACGTAGGACTTAAACTTTTTTATTCTCTAAATAGGATTTAGGGGCTGTTTGTTTCAGCCTCTTAATGGTTCAGATGTCTGAATGGTTCAGCACTTAATGGTTCAGACTGTTTGTTTCAGCCTCTTAATGGTTCAGATATCTGAATGGTTAAGAGATTTGCCTCTGAATGATTAAATATTATACAGAGTCTAAATGATTAAGACCTCTTATCTGAATTGATCAGACATTTGCCTCTGAATAGTTAAGCAATATACTAGCTCTTAATGGTTCAGACCTCTTACTGGTTCAGCACTTAATGGTTCAGACCTCTTATTGGTTCAGCACTTACCGATTCAGAAATTGCCAAACAGCCCCTTAATAATGACTAGTGAGAATAATAATGTCCAAGTAATACTGGACATTTAGTTGAATAATGACTAATAGATATCTAAAAATGCAAAATAATAGTATGTATTTCTCTTGCTAATACGGAGTACTAAATTTAAAAGTATATTAAAAATGAAAAAAATATCTTTAAAAACTACTAATCATTGGGATTACATTTAAAATTAAATAATAATAAAATTTAAAGTACATAATTGAATTGACATTTCATTGATTTTATTATTTCTTAAAAACATTTGCATATGTAAAATTGAAAACAAAAAAAAGTAAAAATGGCAAAGACTAAAATTAAAAAGTAAAAAAATTAAACGGGATCGGAAGAATGAAAGAAAGAAAAAAAGAAGAAGAAGACCACGATAGATGGAAAAAGAACACACAAAAAAAATCAAAACCCAATTATAAGCTGTTTTTAACTTATATATCGGCTAATTACATGTTTCTCTATGGTTATAAGTTTACTTATAAGCTAGAAAAAATAATTAAGTTTTACCTGCTTATCATGAATATCCTCAAATGAGTTATACTCCCTCCGTCCTATAATGATCTTCCTGGTTCACAAAACGAAAAAAAATCCCAAGTTTTTTCAATCTATTTTATTTAAATATTGGTATAGAAATAAAAAATAAAACATACATATTTAAAAACTACACCAAAAGTTCAACAAAACAAGTGGTGACAAGAATATTTTATTTTATCATATAGGCCATGAAAAAACACAAATAAATATAAATTCCCGTGAAGTTGGAATAGTGCTCTGGGAAGATCATTATAGGACGGAGGGAGTATATCATTTAAGTCATTTTATCTACACGAACAAATATTTGACTTATAAGTAGCTTATAAGTTAAAAACAGTTTATCATCAGTAAATCAATACGCACCAGCACAGAGAAACACTTATAAATGTCCATCCTTAATGTGGAGAACTCCCTAAATAGGATTGAGGTTACTTTCTGTTCAACTTATTTTTCATGCTTATTACTTATTCATATTAAAATCAGATCAAACCAGATCAAATCAGGTCAGATCCAATCAAAGCAGAGCAGACTAAATCAGATCACATACAATTACAACAGATCCAAAAAAATTAATATTATTATTAGTAGTACTATTATTATTATTACTATTACTACTATTATTATTATTACTATTACTATTATGATTATAATTATTATTACTATTACTATTTTTATTATTATTATTATTATGACTATAATTATTATTACTATTGTTATTATTATTATATTATTATTATTGTTATTATTATTACTATTATTATTATTACTTTTATTATAACTATTATAATCATAATAATAATTTTAATTTTAATTTTAATTGAATTTATATCAAATCAGATCCAATCATATTAGATCAAATCAGACGAACGGAACGCAGCCTAAAAGAGTATGAAAATACCAAAATAAAATTGCTAATCTTTTAAGACTCAAATAAAAGTGTGCATTATGTTGTCATTATAAAAAGGGGAATTTACCTAAATAGCACTAAAACATAATGACTTTCCCTAAATAGCATCATATGTGTTTTTTTTCACAACGCAGGACTTTTAGTCATTATTCAAGTAAATGTTCGTCATCACAGGTCATTGTTTCTCTTTCTGGACATTATTAAGTGCTATTTAGGAAATAAAATAATTTAAGTGCTATTTAGGAAAATGAATTAAGTTTTAGTGCTATTTAGTGCAAATATTTCTTATAAAAAAGAAACTCTCACATTGTCATTTGCCGTCGCCACACCTTCCCACACTGACATCTACCATCGCCGGCCGCCGTTGTGGGTCACCAGAGTGCTTCCATTCAACGCCACAGTACCGTCGTCTTCCACCGTGGAGTCTTCGGAGCGCCGCCTACTGCTGCTGTGGGGTCACCGAAGTGCTATCGTCCGCTACTTTGGGCCTACCAGAGTGCAACCGTAGGTCGCCGGTGTTGACCTCTACCACAATAATGCCATCACACTGCCACATTACCATCACACACACTATCATCATACCCGTATTTAGGGAATTAAAATCACGCCACTCCTATATATATTGGTATTTTGTTTACATTTTACTCCTATCTAAGAATATTTCTTTCGTGATAATGTGGTTAAATGTTTCCATGGATTACCTGTGTCAATTAAGGTTTTCTGATTGTTGGCATTACACTGCTGTGGTGCAATTCATAATATAATGCTGCAATTCCTGGAAATTGTACATGAAAGAAAACAGACAGATCCTGAAAATTTTTACTTCCAGAACAGAAATTATGAGATTAATGCTAATGAGCAAACAAAAAAGTGAAAGTTGCACTGAATAGGACTAAAACATAAGTCATTTCCCAATGTAGGACTTAAACTTTTTTATTTCCTTAATAGGACTTAATAATGACTAGTGACAAGAATAATGTCCAAGTGATGCTGGACATTTAATTGAATAATGACTAATAGATAATGACCAATGGTCATATATTGGGAAATCAAAACATATGGTCCTATATTGAGAAAATTATTATGTTTTAGTCCTATTTAGGTAAATTACCCAACAAAAAAACATAGCATCCTAGGAAGAATACTCTCTTTGTTCATGGAATTAATATTCCCCAATGATTATTTGAGGATTTAGTTCTTTTTTTGGGTATATGATGTTAGGGGAACAAATGGCAGCACCATCATGAAGAATTAAGGGGAAAAAACAAGTACTAAATAGCCCAGTTAACTCAATCCAAGCATCCATTTAGACAGGAACTTACTATGAACGAACTTTGGTAAAAAAAAAAAAAAAGTAACATAAAAGCATCCTTGTCTTGCCTGTTAACCACAGTGATCCTGGAAGTGGCTACGTTCATAGTAAGTGGTAGGATATCCACACCATTGGTGGCTACGTTCATAGTAATTGAGCTCGACCTTTAGCTTATGCAACTCTTTCAAAAGTGAAGATGCCAACTCTTTTTGTTTTTCGCGGACGAGTCCCTTGACTATGGTTTCATACGTATACTCGTTCGGCATATACCCTTTCATAATCATCTCCTCATAAACTCCCAATGACAAATCTGTTCTCCGAGATTTGCACAACCCATACACAAGAGCATTGAAGACATGAACATCTGGTCTGTAACTGTTTTCGTGTAGAATCCTAATGATCTCAATCGCAGCGTGTGGCATTCTCTCCAAGCACAACCCTTTGATGAGGGATGAGTAGGTGGATGAGTCGGGAGTGAACCCAGACATTGTCAAATCATACATGAGTAGAAAAGCCGCGTAGGACTTATTCCCCATACAGAAACTGGCAATCACGTTATTGTAAAACTCATCAAAGGGGCGCAGCTGTTTGGCCCTCAAACTCTCTAGAATTTGAAGAGCCTCTTGCAACATCCCCTGCTCACAGAGGTCGGCAAAGGGGGTATACGTTCCACTGTTGAGAACACACTGCTTTAAGATCATCTGTTTGAGACACTTGATCACATCTTTCGCCTTTTTTTCTTTGCATAGGCGTGCGATTATTGGGTTGTAACTTGCAGCAGTTGGCTTGATCCCTTGGGCTGAATGCATTTCATCCAAGATACTAAGGGCGTCTTTTGTTCGGCCACGAAACACAAGCGAAGTGATAAAAATATTGCAGGTCCCCAAGGTGGGTGGACAATTTTGCCCACCCATATCAGCAAGAAGCTCATTCGCTACTCCCCAGCGTCCTTCAACACACAGCTTCCTCAATAAGATATTGTAGCTGAAATCATTGGGCTTACACCCTTTAGATGGCAATTCTCTCAAGAATCGAATAGCTTCATCAACTCTCCCTTCCTTGCGCAGCCCATTCAACAACACATGGTAACAAAAACGGTTAAGCTTCCCGCCCTTACCAATGATGTTTTCCGAAAGCACCATAGCCTCATCAACCCCCTTCTCCCAACAAACCGCTTCAAGCAGGATTGAATGAGTATCAGCATCAGGCACCATTCCTCTTTTCACGAGACTAGCGAAAAACTGTAGGCTCAAACTCAAACTTTCGTGCTCGCAAAACCCTCTTATAATGCAATTATACGTCTTCGTGCTCGTTCTGTACCCATATTCCTCAAGCCTCTCAACTAAATGAAGGGCATGACCAAAATTTCCCTTATTGCACAAGTATCTCACCGAGACAGTGTAACACGGTAACCGAAACCTAGCTGCCATTTCCATAACTTTGCTAGCTTTCCCTGGCATATCGTAGCGGCAAAGATCTTGGACCAGGTTGATCACTTGTCTTACAGTTGGCTGATATCCCTTCCCTAGCATATACTCTAGATCTAGAACTGCTTCCTCTAGCTTAAGTTCTATTATTCTTGGGCCATTTTCGGGTGCCCGCCAGTTAAGCAGATCAAGGACACAGTCTTTAACGGGCAAGTCTCTCAGCTCATTACCCACACAGGGTGTGTTTGCAACCGCTAACACTCTAGAAAAAAACATCTTCTTGTGCAGGAAGGAATAGTAGAATCTCAGCCTTTCAGTGAAGAAATAGCACTGCTTCTTAGGTAGAACTGAGGGCGGATTTGTCAATGGAGGTGCTGAATTTATGAGCAGCGCCATAATTTCGATTGGATAAACTGGTTCTTATGCCCTAATTTTCCGCCGAACCAGAAGCTTCATAGGAAGTGAGCGAAGAAAAAGAAGAGATTGAAATTGAAAGGAGAAAGGGAAATGTAGCTGATGAGGAACATACAAAGATTTCAGATTGATTTGTGACTATGTCTTCCTCACTCGTCCCTTTCGAGTCTTCCTTGCCTGGGTGTTCATTTTCTGAAAGGATTGGTTGTGGCTCTTATCGGACTGGGCTAATCGGGATTCCATTCCTACTGAAATGATCCCAGTTATGCTTATAAAATTTGATTAAAATTATTTTAAATTTAATTCTTTTGATTATAAGCGTAAAATAAAAATAAAAATTATATATTTTAAAACTAATCAAAAATTCTATTTAATAAGGTGTGATATGACTAAACTATTCTATCAAATAACTAACGAAAATAAATAAAAAAAAGTAATTAAAATTTAACTATGTAAATAGTGACTAAAAATATAATTTTAGGATAACGACGGTAGCAACAGGAGCTGAATACGCAATAGCAATCCATGGGCGCATACCCAAGCGGAAAGAATAATTAACTCTCAAATCTCAATAATAAAAATCTAGAATGATGGACTCATTCTTTAGATCATCTCTCATGCATAGGGTATGGGGAGACCTCCTCCAACTCAAAATATGAATCCTAAGTTTTTTAATATCAAAATATGAATTCACACTATTATTGTTTAACAATATATCGTATGCATTGAAAATTCTCTTAGAATATTGAATGTAATGTCTGAAAAAAGTATTCCAAACAAAATCCTTCTTAACGAGTGATGAATTAAAATGTTCATGTTCTCATGGTCTGTTTGGTACACAAAATTGATAGGATTGGAATTGATATGGGAGTTCAAATTCTATGAAATTGATTTAGATTGAATAGAATTTTTCAATTCCAATTCACTTTTGGCATTATCAAATCCAAATCTGCAAATTTTTGTGTTACCAAACAACAGAATTGGAATTATTTTCCCCAATTCTATAATTTAAATTATATGTATCAAACGAAGTCTCAAACAACTGGTTTCTTTAAAAAATGACTCTTTTTTTGTTTAGTGAAATTTGCAGTGAATAGGACTAAAACATAAGTTATTTCTCAATGTAGGATTTAAACTTTTTTATTCCCTTAATATGAATTAATAATGACTAGTGAGAAAAAATAATATTCAAATAATTGGACATTTAGTTGAATAATGACTACTCCGTAATATATAATGACCAATGGTCCTACATTGGGAAATAAAAACATATGATTCTATATTGAGATTATCATTATATTTTAGTTCTATTTAGGTAAATTACTCTTTTGTTTATATATTGTCACTCAAGTTTTCAGTAAACCTCTAAACAATGTCACTCATATGGTTTTCAAATGATTACAACTCGTACCTAAAATAAAAGAAATTAGAGCTATGTTTATATGGTGTCAATATCTATATTTAAAATGTGAATCTTCTTACATTTTTCATGGACTTACATGTAGATATTTTTTTTGAACGAATCATTTCTTTTATCCTACAAATGCACTAAGATCTATAAAATGACCATGAACCTTGGATTTACATAAAAATTTGCCAAGAATTTAATAATGTGACTAATTCACTTTCTTTGTCTCAATTTAAATTGTTTGTTTTTTAATTTACGATGTTTGGTTGAATTTATTTTCAATACCATTTAATTGAGAGTTGGAGCAAAGTTAAAAAAATAAAATTTATATGTTAAATGATACAATTTGATAATAATTGATATTATTAAATAATGAAGGATACACGCATATATATAGAGATTACAAGAGAAAGTTCTGATCAAAGTAAGAAAAAAAATATAGTAACCACACAATAAGGAAATATAAAAATAAAAAAAAATTAATTAATAATATTCTATTTTCTAATATTCCCTGCAAATTGATCAGCGAAGACGATGGACAGCTTGAAGCACGAGTACTCGAATGGAGCTGGCTGAAGCGGTTTCGTGAGAATGTCTGCTAACTATTCTAATGAAGAAACATGATGTGAAGTCATAGTATCTATCACTAATTCATCTCATACACAGAGACTGTCTGAACTAGCATGCTTCAAACGGTCATGTGGAATCAAATTTTTGGTCACACAGATAGTTGACTTATTGTCACAATATAAGCGACGTTTTGATGTAGGAATGCCTAGCACATCAGTAATGTAGCGCTACCACATGACACGGGTCTACTTTTTCGTACACCAAGAGATGAGATTGGAGCCAAACAAGAGCATGTAACCAGTAGTAGAAATGCGACCATATTTGTCATTTTCCCAATCAGAATCAGAGTAAACAGATAGATCAAGTCCTCCTTGTGAAAAACAAGACCAAGGTATAGAGTACCTTTTAAGTAGCGTAGAATACGCTGCAAGGCACGATAATTCCGCTGAGTCGGGTTGTGCATAGTCTAAGACACCCGATTAATATCATGCATAGTCTAATACACCCGATTAACATCATACTGGATATCTAGACGAGTAACAGCTACATAATACAAACCACCAACAATGCTCTAAACTTGAGAGGTATCCTTGAAAGGAGCAGAAGACTTGACTACAAGTTGAGCCATCATAGGAGTAACGACGAGATGACATTCTCAACTTGCCTATTCCTCATTGACTCGGGTGGAATCCCGCCGACCCAATTTGTATGTCTTGGGCAAGCGTGACCTATGGCTCGGACCAAAGTCGGATAGTCAAACTCCGACTATCCGACTTCGGACTTTGCGGTTACTAGAGAACACAACAATAGAAAGACTGGACGCTCTCGAGGCTCTACACCTCGAGAACAACTTCTTGACGGAGCCCATACCGCCTGGCATCGATCTGTTCACGAACCTTGATAGCTTGAACTTAAGCAACAACGACTTTAGCGGGGCCATTCCGTTGTCTTTGCTCAAAAGATTTCCCCTTTCGTCATTCGCAGCAAAAATGATTAAAAATTTATATAATCATATATATATATATATATATATATATAATTATTTTTATACTACCCACAACTTATTTTAGTTTATTACTTTTCAAAAAATGATTATATAAATTTAATCACATATGCATATTTATTAATTAAATACTTTGTTTCAAAAATTTTATCTTATTACATTATTTATTTTTTGCTACATACTCCGTATATTTTTTTAATAAAGTAAATAGAATAAAATTAGTTTAATTGAAGGATGACAACTGATAAATGACATTATGACAAATATACATTCTCTAATGATATATCATTATGTAATTATTCCACTTTTTATTAATTAAAACTATTTTTATTAGTACTTAATTCAATGACCATTAATTTTGTAGAATTTGTTTCTTTTTAAATTAACATTACAATATATATTCCACAAGTTTAAAACATATTTTGTTACTATTAGAAAACTAAGACAATTAAAACTATATTTATAAAATCTCAAAAATTTAGAATATATAGGAGCTCGTGCAAAGCGGGGTAGCACTAGTTGATGAGGTAAGGGAAGGTACCAGGAGAATGACTAATAAGCAATAATGCTAGAGAGTCTTGTTATTGCATCTCATTCCCTAATTTGAGTTGTTTAGACAAGTAGACAACTAATTGCCTAATTATATGGAGAGTAATAAATTGCAAATTAAAATACACCGTCAAAATTCAAAAATACAAACCAGAATACCGTGCATTCTGGAAATCCCAAGCAAGAATTATCAGATTAGTCAAAATTTAACAAGAAGAGAAAAAAAGACATTAGAATTGCCAAAAATAAAGTGAGTAATTCAGTGATTATGATAGATCGGAAGAAGATTTAGCCACACAGAATGAGGTTTGTAAGGCCAAGAACGACGCAGGAAAGCGTGAAGAAGAAGAGAGTGGCGAAATCCCTACCGGACCATTTCCTCACCGCCGCCGCCTTGGCTTCCATTCTCATACTCTTCGCCCTCCTCAGGGCGTCCACTTCCTTCATCAGATCGAACTCGGCCCCCTTCTTCCTCAGCTCCTCCACGCATTTCCCCAGCAGCTTCCCGTCCTCCTTCTCCCTCTCCAGAAGCTTCTCCAGATGGTGCTCCGTGTCGGTCTTGTACCGGACCGCCCAGATCAGTCCGAGGGAGCAGAGGAGGGAGCAGAGCGACGGGATCCACGATCTGCGGCAGCCGTGCGGCGGCGGCGGCGGCGATCGGGAGGCGGAGGTGAAGAGGACGGTGAGGGAGAGGGAGTGGAAGAGGAAGAAGAGGCAGTAGATCTGAGTGATCTCCTTTCTGACCGAGTCGATTTGGGCCTCTTTCGCGACGATCCGGTTGAGGATTAGGTCTTCCTCCTTGAGCCATTGCTTGAGGAGGAGCTTGTGCGTCGGGAACTCGGAGATCTGGTGCAGCGGATGAACCGGCTTCGCCTCCATGATTGATGATGATGGTGATGATGAAACTCTTCCCTTCTCGTCCGCCATGCCTGTTGTTATACTTCTATATATTCTTCCAGAAATTGAGAGAGATTTTGGGGGGAGGGAATGGAGAGACAAATGATGAGAGGGTTTCGGTTTGAAACGGTCCGTTGAGATTTCAAATTCTTAACGTTCGAAACACCTACTTGGGCTTGGGTAGTGTAGTCTTTGACGGGTAGCTTATTTTTCAGATTTTTTAGTATCACGAATTCAGGTACTTGAAAGTCCATTAAATTTGGAGGATGCAACTGAAGGGAGTGAAGCGGTAGATTCGGAGTGAGGCGGGATGCCAGAGAGTTAAGAGGAATAGAAACGTCAATTTTACGAACGAAGCATCGTATGGCTACCGGATCATCACATGACACTGCTTAGCAATGTCAAAATTAGAGTTACATTGTCAAGAGGAACCGAAGTGCTACCTATTTTAGAATACAAGGTAGACTTAAGCTATATATACATGGGCTAGAAGTCAAGATTGGGTTTTATGTTCAAGCCCACGAGCAAGGACGGCTTGAATGAATTATATTTATTTTTATTAGTGTGATTATAAAAAAAATAGTTGATGGTGTAAGTTGAACCGGGTATGGATTGATATGGCTTGACCGGGTCAATACGTCTCACTGAATTGACAATAACGAACTACTCCGTAGAAAGTAAGAACACAACAACAATGACTTAGACCGGGAAGACACTACAAGAAAACTGCTGATCTGCCACGGACAAATTTCGTTGCAGAATTTGAAATTCCGTGGCAGATTTCATTTCTGCGACGCATCTACAATGACAATTTTTCAATCAGATCCAATCAGATTAATCATAACTACAAAAAATTAGATGAGAAAAATAAGTTGAACGGAACTAAGCCTTAGTTTATTACAATATAGTATATGTTCATACTTTTCACAACCTAATAAGGTCAAAGAACCAACGTCTCTACTTCCGCTGGAGTAACTTTTCATTTTGAGCATCGAAGGAGCTACAAATGAGTGAATGTCATCCTTAACACTAGAAACTAGTGTCAACGGAATCTTGTCACTTAAACCCTTATTAGATTGTAAAAAGTATGAATGTATACTATATTGTAATAGAGTCAATAACACTAAAAAGTATCATTTTAAACATGTTAAAAACAAAAACATCTCATGTTTACTTTTTTAAAATGACGTGTTCTGTATTCAAAATAATTATGGTAAAAATAATAATTAATATACTCATTACAAAATAGAGTAAAACAAAAGTCACTCAAGGGCGGATCTAACCTTATGCTTTTGGGGACACCCGCTCCCGGTCAATTTTTAAAATATACGGAGTATATTGTAAAATTAAAAAATATACGTAGTAAATTAAAATCGTGCCCCCATTAAAAAGCTCCGAGTTAAAAAGGTGCTCACCTCAAAACAAAAATTAATTAAAAAAATTAAATTGAATATAAAGATAACATATTCTTAAAATAAATATGCTATACTCCCTCTGTCCTGAAACTAACTTTCTGTTTTAATATACGAGGTTTGACCAAAATTGTTTTTTCAAATCTATTAGGAATAATAGATATATTAGAAAATAGAATATTACTACCTCCGTCCCAGAGTATTTGTCCACTTTCATTTTTACACACCATCCAATACACTTCTTTAATCCATTTTACCTTGTAATTTGTATATTAAAAAATTACAAAAATTATATATTAATAATCTATATGTTAAGACAAATCAAACAAGATCACACATGACTATATTTAGGCTTACACATTGAAAGAATTTGATGAGTCAAAGTGCTTAGATGAACAGTTCCAAAAGTCAAAACCAGACGAATACTCCGGGACGGAGGGAGTATTATTTATTATCTTCCTTATTACATTACCTCCTTATTGTATTATTATTACAATTCTTCTTTTACTTAGATTAAAATTCTCTTTTGCAATTCAAATATATAGGGATGTATCCTTCATTATTTAATAAGATTAATTTTTATCAAATTGTATCATGGTATCAGAGTTATGATTTTCAAAAACTTAGTCCTTCCTTTCCCGACCGAGCACATCGATGGTCTCTGTTCACGTCGGTCGACCGTCCGACAACATGGCGCCACCGACCAATCTCGATTAGCGTGCCTAACAGCCACCGTCTATTATCCTTTTCTTTCTATCCAAAAAATCTATTATCTCTCTTCCAAAAAAATGTGTGATTGAGAAACAGAAAAGTTACATTTCTCTGTTATTTCTAGAGATCAATAACATGGAAAGCGACAGAGAAGCAAAGAACGGCCCAAAAGGAAAAGAAAAGAAACTTCTCGCCCTCACTCCAATCGTCAAGACTCTCACCGGGAAAAACTTAACAAACTTGATCTCAAGTTTGTTTGTCATGCAATGAAGATCTGGCTCTCTACTTCTATAGGTCTTATGGGGGACCATCGATCATCCATAGGGATTTGCTAATGTGCTTGTCGCGGTATCGGGTATTAACAGCCCAGCCCAACTTGACGAGGTACATGAATCGTGTATCTTGCGAAGCCCTCATGTCCATGCACCACTCAATAATGGGGCTCCGCACTGCCTAGGGGGTGTCCTATAAGAATCTACATCGGTTTGGGGCTATAGTAAGTGTCCACCTTCCTATCACCAATTAGTTTTAGGAAGCATTTAACACCTCTTAACTTCAGAACGCTGTAATTAATTATGCTGGAGCATTAGTAGTGCCAGGATGAGTGGCCCACTAGGAAGTTCCAAAAATCGTTCCCACAACTTCTAGAGGTAATTTTCAGAAAACTGTTTTCCCTGACTCAATTCCAACAGTTGTGCTTCCAGCTGCTCATCCTTTACTGATGATCAGCTTGCAGGAGGATCCTAAAAATAATAGATGTAGTAGGAAAAAGAATATTATTGTTTATTACCTTTCTTATTATATTACTTCTTTATTGTATTATTACTATAATTCTTATTCTACTTAGATTAACATTTTCTTTTCTAATTCCTATATATAAGGATGTATCTTTCATTATTTAATAAGACAAATTATTATCAAAATTCAACTTATTCAATTACTTGTATATAGTTTCAAAACAAATTTTATGTACTTCAAAAACTACATCGATGTTTTCTTTTAAATTAGAGTTGACCTTAGTATATTAAATTAACAAATGGCTAATAAAAACATGCAAATAAAGTAAATAAATCTTAGTTGTGTAAATAGTGACTGGAAGAATATTTTGGAACAAAGGAAATATTACGTAAGAACATAAATTACATTGTAGTCGAGCCAATAGTACTAAAGAAATAAGATATATTACGTAATTCTTTCACTATTATATTTTGTTTGCTTTTGAAATATTTTGTTTTAGTTATCCATTATTGAAACATTTTGTTATACTTAATTTAAATTTGTTTGATATAAATGTCATTTTTTTAATCATAGTTTGATAGTTTTTTTAATAAAAAAATTGGTGGCGCAACCTCTGTCTTACTTGGTCTCCGGTTATTTATATTTCTTAATTGCTATGTTCAAAAAACAATTTTTCAGACAACTTTTAGATTTTTTGACTGACTTTGGCTTTTTCCATTAATCGAACATTCAAAACTATTGTTTGGCTAATGGCTTTTTTAATTAGCATTTTGATTCGAAAAGCCAAAATCTAAAAAGCCAAGGGGGTAGGTTTTGGACTTGGATGTTATGAAATTAAATTTTTTAATCATTTTTCTAGAAAGATATTGGCTGTGTTTGGAAAAAAGATTTTCGAATAGGTTTTGGAATCTTCGACTTACTTTGGCTTTTTTAACTAATCAATTAATCAAACAGCCAAAACCATTGTTTGGCTACTGCCAAAAAATAGAAAAAACTAGTGGCTGCGATCAGGTGGTCTGCAACGGAGTAGTACGTTGCTGATTTCGTCGCAGATCTGCAACGGTGTGTAGACTTCCGTCGCAGATTTTTTGGGTTGCAAAAATAGACGAACCCGTTGCAGGTCCGTTGCAGATCTGCCACGGGTTTTCAGTTCTATCGCAGATTTTAAATCTGCCACAAGTTTTCTGCGACGGAATATTTTCGTTGCAGGTCCGTTGCAGATTCTAAATCTGCCACGAAATTTCCAATTCTGCAACAAAAATTGTCCGTGGCAGATTGACAGTTTTCTTGTAGTGTTGGTTGAATTTATTTTCAATACCATTTAATTGAGAGTTGGAGCAAAGTTAAAAATAATAAAATTCATATGTTAAATGATACAATTTGATAATACATGATATTATTAAATAATGTAAGATACACCCATATATATAGAGATTACAAGAGAAAGTTTTGATCCAAGTAAGAAAAAAAAATATAGTAACCACACAATAAGGAAAGTTTTGATTAACTAATCAATTAATCAAACAGCCAAAACCATTGTTTGGCTAATGACTTTTTTATTTGGTTGTTTGATCTGAAAAGTCAAAATCTGAAATGCCAAGGAGAGTAGCTTTTGGACTTGGCTGTTAGAAAAATATTATAGAAAGATATTCTATAATATATGAAAAAAAATTAAAATTAAATTTTAAAATTTTAAAATTAAAAAAATTAAATTTAAAATTTAAAATTTCAAAAAAAAAGGTAGAAAATCAAAAGTAAAAATCATGAAAAAAGTTGTACGAGTATATTATTAATTTCTTATGAATTATATGAAAATAAAATTTAATAAAAGTGAAAAATTAATAAAAAATAAAATGTCAAAAAAAGATGAGATTAGACAATGAAAAGTAGAAATCATTAAAAAGTTATATATTAATTTCTTATGAATTAATTGAAAGCGATATTTAATACTCCATTTAGTAAAGATTTAATTTTTACACGTAAAAATATGAAAAACAAATATGGTGTGTGTGTGTGTGTATATATATATATGTATGTATATATGTATGTATGTATGTATGTATGTATGTATGTATATATATATATATATATATATATATATATATATATATATATATATATATATATATATATATATATATAGATTTTGGTTCTGGTGAGA